GTAAAATATATTTCATTAATAAACAAGAATGTATTTGGACCATATATTCTGAAGACGGCTACTGAAACTAATTCTTATACAATGTAATACAATGTAACAGTCAGTATAAATAAACCAAACATAAGAAACTTACACTCTTTTGGGGTTTATGTGCTCAGCTGTTTAGGTATGACTTAAGAGGCTTCAACATTATATGATAATTTCAAATATTGTGTTATTCAAAATATTGTTATGCAAAATTCTGTATTATTCAAAATACTGTATTTTAAGTATTTTTACTGGATCAATAGCAATTATGAGCACAACTCCTGCTGTACTAATTCTTTCTTGATAACAAACTTCAGCCTAATTTACTGTGATGTAATTTAGAATTAAAGAGAGATTATGTTGTACTAAAATTAGGAAAAAAGCAATAAAATGTCCCTTGGTTCACGTCGCAGTACAAGATTTATGCATTAGAAACTCAAACTCTAAATAGATCTGCTAGGCTGCTTGACATTACGTATCAGTTGCATTTAACTACAAAGTTTTGTATTACTGTACTTTGTAGTGAAACGTGAAACACAGTGAAACGTTTATGAACAAATACAGATGCAATACATGATAATGACATATGAGTTTTTAGGCCTAAAACATGAACCAAAGGACAAAACTTATATAAAAATAAAATAAAATCGTACTCCACCTTCCCCTCCATTTCTCTCTTGGTCTGCTACTCCACCTCCTCCATTCCTCCCTTCGTCTGCTACTTCTGCGTCTTCTTCGCTGCTCTTAATTCATTACTTAAATGACCTCCTACAGCAGCACTTAGCTGCTCACCTCAAAACATCGATTGAGTCTAATGCAGTCTTTTGTGCTTTTTTTTTTTATCCAGCTCTTTGTTTTGCTATGAGTGTCATTGCCCTAATATTGGCTGTAGGTTTAGCATGTTCGATTCTTCAAGGTTTTTCAATTTTATTAGTTTTTTATTATAAAAACTTTTGAACCATATAGTGGTAATGACCCAACCCGTCCTCTCAACTAGTACGTCTCATTTTGTACGTTATGGTCCCCAACGTACATAAAACAAAGTTCTGTACTATGAAAAGTAGCGGCTCACAAAGACCCGTTTTCTGTGCATCGGTTGGTTAGGTTAGGTGGGTGGCTTGGGGTCGTACGTTTCTGCTTAGGCAAACACTTTGTATTTTGTACGTTGTGGCAACTCAAGAGAACGGGCTGCGTGGCCAATATCTGGTATTATATTTTAATTAATGCCATAATGATAATGAAAATGTTAATAAGTTATACTGTGTGTATATATATATATATATATATATATATATATATATATATATATATATATATATATATATATATATATATATATATATATATATATATATATATAAATTATTTTGCTTATAAATTCCTGATGTAGCATATTAATCATTTCAAAACATTATTGGTGGATACTTTTTTTGTGATGTGAATTTTCTTTTCTTTACGACACTTAGTCTATATATACAGCATATTTAATACTGAAATCATTTGTGCCAAATTTATTTTGATGCCAATGTTATTGAGGCTTTGACAATCCAAAAAAGGTCTTGGTATCATTAGTCTGTGGTGCCATTCCACTAATATGGCTTAAGACAAAAATAAACAAAAAAGGAAAAGAAACGAATTTAAAGAGGAACAAAACATGGCAGTGTAAAGTGTGTGTGTGTGTGTGTGTGTGTGTGTGTGTGTGTGTGTGTGTGTGTGTGTGTGTGTGTGTGTGTGTGTGTGTGTGTGTTAGGGACCTGAGTGCATCAGTTGGGTTCTTATGTGCACCTCACACTGGTTCATGGCTGGCTGGCTGTCCAGGCCTGATAACGTTTATCTTGAGCTTGCTCTGGACATGTAAATATTTCCCTGCACAGCATCATGTTTAAGCTGGCTGGTCCACAAGTGACATGTGCCTTTACTTGAGCGCTGGTCACTGAGCTGCGGCGCGGCGGCGGCGGTCGCTCACACACCTCGTGGAAGCTGCCCACTTTAGTTGGTAAGTAAACCAACGTTAAAAGAAAAGTCCAATGACCTTCAAACCTATTCTGATGTTACTGAAGTTTATTCCGGTTGTTAATTAAACAATTATAATTTGAATAATTAAATTCACTTTAAATTTTAAATGCACTTCAAATTTTAACAAATTTCAGATTCACAATCAAGTTAATTTGCAGTTCCTGGCTCAACGGGCGTTGTTAAATTAAATTGGCATCCGTTTTCGCGACTCTTGAATGAGGTAAGGAAGTGTTTACACCCATCATTCTCCCTCCCATTATGTAGGAGGCATTTCCCCCCTCCTGTGACCAGCTTTCTCCCTATATGTCTTTGGCAGCTTCCATCAGAGGGTGTGACCCCCCCCCCCCCCCCCCACAAGTCATGCTTAACTTACTGTAAGATTCATAAAAGACACTTGAGTTTATTTTCGAGGTTTATTTATCACTAATTTCCCACATACGTACAGGAAATAATCAGAACGTCTCTAACTCAATAATATACAACAAAACACAACTTTCTCTTCAACTAAATTATATATGAAGTAATATACAAAGAAAGAATTAAAATGACATTGGAAATAAAATTAATGTACAACATAAAGGGTATATTTGACCGGTTTTAGATATAGGCTGTACAATAAGCACAACAGACATTTAAGACTTAGCTTATAAACTTGTAGTCATAAAAATAATAATAATTATAATAATAATGATAATGTACAACATAACACAATGGCGGCCCTCCAGGGGAAACACCGCCATAACTATTTACAACATAATAGAAGACATATAAATACCAGAGTTTAGTTAACACCATCATCTTGTAAAGTGGACAAGGTCATACCGATGTGGTCCATAAAATCATTACAACAATTATTGTTAATGTAAAAATATAAGGAACACTCACATGACGGTAATATCAATAGTGTCATCACCTCTGCGAGATCCAAGCGCCCTACATGTACGTCTGCTTTATTATTATTATTACTATATCAGTACTAATAGTATCTCAAATATTCACATTCAAATAGGAACTTTGCGATTCATTTCAGTTATATAAATAATTTCCAAATAAAAGCGAGGAACCGTTTCATGATATAGTGGTCAACTCCAGTCTGCAAAAATCACCGACCCAACACAATAATTGGTCATAACAAAAAATGAGGAGATATGCTATCCTTCAGTGCCTCGCTCTCTCGCGGGCATAACAAATAGACTCACTGGTGGCTACACTCAACAGAAAATAAAAAATATGTCTTACTGAGATATTCGTTACATGTGGTTCACCAGCTCCGAGGCTTACAATAAGGTGACGTTTGGTCTTTTAGGGTGTACCGAGCAGCCGTGCCAGCCGCGCTCTCACCCTTATTGACAGCCTGCCGGAACTGGCCAATCACAGTTAATGCTGAATTCACTCCACTGTGTCCGAAGCTGTTAAAAACGTCTAACTCCAAGTTGTGAGTCAGTATGGATTCCTTACGTCATAGTTCTCAAGCACCAAACAAATCCACACATCGGTTTTGAACCGCAAAAAAGTGATATTTAAAATTAAAACATGAATAAAACCCGTGAGGCAAGAAATCAATCTCAAAAGCAAACCAGCTTCGTGTACTCTTAAACACAACAGTTTCCGGCAGCTTCGGACACACTACGGCAAAACCTATCTATGAGAAAAAGTCAAGATGTCACCCGGTGTAGGTAGCTACACTGATATTAATGTGGTCTGCAAGGGACAACAGTTTGTGGGTCGTTGTTTAACAGGTAACGACCCTCTGGTATAAAGCCAGTTGGATGCTGGAAGGAACTGTGTGATAGACGCAGCAATATTACAAACATACAAACACACTTACACGTACAGTTAAATGGAGCCAAACTAGGAATTTTGAGTCAGCGCGGCCTTGGACGGAAGCTTCCCTTGGATGGCAGGATTACAGGGAAGTCCATTCAAGACTAAAACCAAGAGGATCTTCTCTCCAGTCGACAAAACTGGCAATAAACAAGCGAGTTTCTGGTCCCCGTAACACCGGGCTCAAAATAACTACTTTGACCACATGACCTTGCTGGAACGGCGAGCGAAGCCCACCCCAGCACCGACCCCCGTCTGGCTTCATTCAATGACCACATCAAGCCGCTTGGGCAGTGCAGGTGCTTGAGCAGGCTCTCGCTCGCTCGCTATTTGTTCGTTCGGTAAAATATGTGCGAGGTAGAGTATGGGGCTTCAATGAGCAGGGTTGTAGTGTCCGCTCTGTTCAGAGTCCAGCTTCATTTCTCTAACTGTTGATGAAGCGGAGGCTCTATGGGAGGTATCAATAAGATCAATAATCCCATGGCCGGAGTTTATAGGTTCTTACTGCAGTGTTATTTAAATCCCTTCGCAGGGATCCTCTCGTCTCCTTTCCAAAATTGACACCAAAATCGTGTCCTATGTTATATAAAGTCATAACGAACACTACAACCCACTGGTCACAGCTTTACATCTGGCGGCCATTACTTCTCTTGGATAATGTACAATATACATATAATTGCATGGGGGGGGTACCAAACGCTTTTGTTGTAGCCCGAAACATTTATAACTCTTGTGGGATCATGAATGAATTGTGTCGCTTTCCTCACAGCTTTAGAGATATGAGGCGGGGAGGGGTGAAGGAAAGGAGTATTCTGAATACTGTACTATGTGAAAAATATATCCAGTAAGTTCTATAATATATATGTATATATAATTATATATATATATAATATATATATATAACATATTTATTATATATATATTTTATACATATACGTATATATATATATATATATATATATATATATATATATATATATATTATATATATATATATATATATATATATATATATATATATATTATATTATATTATTATATATATATATTATATATATATTATATATATATTATTATATATATATTATATATAATATACAGTATATATATTTTATATACATATATTATATATAAATATACATATACATTATACATACATATAATATAAATATATAAAGAGCTATCTTTTGACAGGGAATTTATATTTAAATTGCTTGTAGTTGACTACATTCAGCTGGGTAGGTTGGGTGTGGAAGACTGATGAGGAATCTATGGTCGGGATTTGTATGAATTCACTCGTGATTATCCGCATTATCTCAGGAACCTGTTGCTTGTGGTAGATACAAAGAGATGTTTTTAACGCCCTAATGACCCGGGTTTCTCGTCACCACTCCAAGGGTTACAAACAAGTTCGAGTCTGAAGACGTCTTGTACTCATATATATATATATATATATATATATATATATATATATATATATATATATATATATATATAATGTTCATTTTGTAGTCAGTGTAAATTTACTTGAAAATAAAGAGACCCTTGTGTAGCGACTAAAAATCCGGGTGGTGTATAGTGAAGGTTACTTGCGTCTATTAAGTGGGAGGGAGAAGAGGATGCACACACTAACGCCTAAATACCATCTCTATAAGCAGACCTAATGTATAAGCTAGTCAATTTACAGTCATCTCATATTAACTTTATTAATAGACGATTATTTAATCTTTTTTGTTTTAAGAAATCTGCTACTGATTGTTTTTGGGCTCTAATAAAATTAGTGAAAAATAATAGTTATGCCTTCAGAAACATTCATCACGTGATTAGCATAAAAAGTGGTAGGAACATTATCTAGTAAGTCAGTATACAGCGTTATTCTGGTGCGCTAAAATCATTTTTTTAGTTACATTTAATTCATATGCTTTGTTGCGAGGTATGATAGTGTTTCACCATTAATAGGCTTTATACTCTATGATCTACCAACGTGACGCACAGTCCTAGAGGATTACACAAAAATTACATAAAACCAGCTCTAGTGAAGCTTGTAAGGCCTCAGACTCAGAGTAAGGCCTGATATCCGGAACTTTCGTAACTTTGCAAAAAATGCCATCAATTAAACATCAACACAGTAAGCAACAGACTTGTCTCTTCACGAGTGGGGTAACAGCATGTCCGTATTCCCACGCGCGACCTGGGCTTGGGCTTGACACAGACACAGGAGTTGACAGAACGGGTCTGGACAAGCGAGAGTGAACACAGGGTGGGGCCAGCAGCAGCAACACCGGCAAGCGTGACGCTGCCAGGGAGGATAAAGCGTGACAGGGGCCAAGCTACACTTACGCCAGCCCCGGCCAGGCCTGCCCAGAGGCTGCTGCTGCTGCTCACTACTCGACCGGGCCGAACATATTACTGTCGGGCCTCATAGGGCGGCCCACAGCACATAGTGAGTGTGAGCAGGTGTAGTAGTGGTTCCCTGGCAAGCGTGGCCGGGGCTGGCTGGGTAGGGCGGGGTAGCGTGCGGGCGGCGCTGGGTGGTGTGTGGGCGGGACGGGCAGCGGGTGCGGACAGTGATGGGAGGGAGGGGGACCGCTACTCACCGGCGCCGGCCATCATGGCGTGCTGAAGGAGTGGGTGCGGCGCCCCCTGCAGCCCCCCGAGACCCATCTGCTGATACATCTGCTGCAGGAGCTGCAGGCGACTCAGGTCGTCGGTGTTGCTGCTCCCACCAGGGCCACCCTTCTTTTCTTCACCAGCGGTGGCACCGGCGGCAGATGGTGGTGACCCAAGCGCCATCAGCTGCGCCATTTGCAACTGATGCGCCAGGCCGGCCGCGGGCGTCATCGAGGAGGGCGGCCGATCGACGTCCACAGACATCGAGCTCAGGCTAGAATTTAGGCTTGCCGCATCACTCTCTTCCTTCACCTTTTCCAGGAATACTTTCATGTTTTCGATATGTGAGCGCGTAAACAAGTGGTCCTGAATAGAGTACTTATGACTGTACTTAAAGTTACACACTTTGCACTCCTCAGGTGGTTTAGGACCCTCTGGCTCAGTACCAAGCACTTTTTGCAGAGCCAATTTCGCCTTTTTTTCCTTTGCCCGCGCGTTTTGGAACCACACCTGCACCACACGCTTGGCTAGCCCTATCTCCCTCCCCAGCAACTCACACTCCGCCATTGTAGGCGTCTTATAATCCTGAAACACACTTTTCATGATTTTGACCTGCGTTGCCGACATTTGGGTGCGGAACCGTTTGTTGGGAGCCCCATGCATGAACCCGGACTGCTTGGCGGAGCTGGTGGTGGAGGAGGCGGGCGAGGTCGGGTTGCTCTCGTGAGAGTTCAAGCCGGTGTCGCCCTCGTCGTGCTCGCACATGTCCAGGTGGTAGCTCTCCTCGTCAGAGTGGTCGTCCAGCTGCTCGTTGGTGTTGTCCAGTATAGAAGAGTCAAACCCCAACGGCCGCACAATGTCTAAGGGTTTACTGAGATCAAGGGGACTCTCACCTTCTCGTCGGGTACCATCTGATGACAAGTTGACATCGTTCAGGTACCGCCGGATTGCCTCCTCGTGGTACATGGCTATCGAGTCTTCCGGAACTTCTGAGGAGAAGAGAGAAGAGGGCATCACTTGAGAAGCTTGAGTTGCAGAAGGAGTTGAAGACAGGCCGAAGTTCCCAACACCAGAGTCTTCTACATCAGGTAGTGCATCAATGTCCACATCTCCCTTAGAGTAATGCTCCGCGTGCTTAGTGGAAAGGTGCGACTCAAGAGCAGACTTGACTTTAAAGATAGCAGGACAGAAGGGACATTTTTTGTTAATCACTTGTGCATGAGCTCTAAACTGACCTTTCCGTTCTCGCGCTCGTGTATTCTGGAACCAGACTTGGACGACCCTCTTCTTGAGACCCACTTCCTGAGCAATGGTCTCGAGCATCTTCCGCGACGGGTTGGCCTCCATCTGGTACTTCTGGTATAGGTAGTCCAGCTGCTCCGGAAGGATGGTGGTGCGGAGCCGTTTGTCCCTCTGGGCCTCACTGGCCCCGATCATGCTCTCTCTCTCATCCTCACTCTCGTCAGCTTTACGCTTCAGAGGCGAGGCAGGGGGCAAGAGGGGGCTGGGCTGGGGCTGAGGTATGGATGTGGGCGCCTGTTGTGGCTGCTGTGGAGGTTGAGACTGCTGTTGCTGCTGCTGTATGCTGGTAAAGGGAGAATCAGCACCCTTGTTTAAAAAGAGTGCAGGGTTCATAAGGTGAACAATTTGGTGTTCCCGCCACTGTTCAAACCTATTAAATATCAGACTGCACTTATCACACTGAAAAGTACCCTCACTGGACTTGCAGTCTAGTCCTCCAGACTGCTGTGACGAATCAGTGACACTGGAGTGGTTGGAGTTCTCGTCATTGTACAGAGCTGCTGCTTGGGCTGCAGCTGCTTGCGCTTGAGCTGAGCGCTTGGCATCTTCTTCCTTAAAGCAATGAGTCTTCTGGTGTCGGATGAGCTCATAGTACCGCTGGAAGACAAGCAAGCACTTCTTACACTGGTAATTGAGGCCCGGCGTCCGCGTGAACCTGCCCGCGCCTTCGTCGTTTGGGTCAATGGGTGGCTGGTTCTCGTACACTTTGCGTGCCTTTTGTCGGGCGTTCTGAAACCACACCACAATGACACGTGGTGATAGGTTGAGCAGCTTGGATAAATACTCCAGATCATCGTCCTTAGGGTAGGCGTTGTTCTCAAAGAACTCTTGTAGCACCTTAATCTGGTAGTCAGTGAAGCGGGTGCGGTTGGCTCGCTTGCCCGTGCTGGAGCAGGAAGAGGTAGGGGTGTGAGGGGCAGAGAGTGGAGTTGATGGGAAGGACAAATGGGGCGGCGTGGGACTCACACCTGAGCTTGGAGGAATAAGGCCAGAACTAGGAACTGTGGGTGGTGTGTGAGGCAGCTTGTGAGCCAGCATGGGGTTGGTCTCAAGCTGGGAGGTAATGAGTGAGGTGAGTGACATTGATGACTGAGGTGAGGCCAGGGAGGTGAACGATGAGGTTGCCGGCAGCCCCAGAGGGGACGACGACGCTGACGACACCAGTTGGGGACCACTGCTTACTTGTTGTTGGTGATGTGGAGGAAGCAATGGTTGTGACTGCTGCTCCCGTTGTTGTTGTTGTTGTTCCAACAGTTGTTGTTGATGTTGTTGTTCCCGTGACTGATGTTGCTGGAGTTGTTGCTGACTATTCAGGCCACCTGATCCACCTAAGCCGTCCCCGCTCTTTTCTTGTACTCGGCTATTGTCTTGGTTAAGACTAGGAACTTTGTTGAGCGGAGACATGGCGGCGGCGCGTTCAGGGGCTGGCTCTTCCTGCTCCTTTGGGATGCGTTCTGCAACTCTCTCTTCCTCCCGGGCGTTGCTGATCGCCACAATCTCGCGCGCCTCCTCTGGGTTGAGCGGCATCACCTTGGCCTCACCTGTCTTTTCATACTCCTCTAGGTTAAGTGTGGTGGACGGCGGGATGCTAAAGTTATACGGCGAATCTTTGCTACGTTGTCGTTCTTTAAACAGCGTGTTGCGAAACCAATGCTTAATCACTTTAGGAGGCAGCCCACTCTGCTTGGCCATCTCGTTGATCTGGTCCTCGGTGGGAGAGTTGTTAATGTCGAAATGACCTCTAAGGATTTTAAGTTGTTCATCAGTGATTCGTGTTCGAGCTCTTTTTTGCTGAGCAGCTGCGGCAGCGGCCGCTGCTGCAGCTGCAGCTTGTTGTTGTTGCTGCTGCTGAAGAAGCTGCTGCTGCTGTTGCTTGATGAATACTGAATGATCACCTTGGAGGCCTGAAGGCCCTGAAGTAGGTGGTCCCTGCTGCTGCATACTGGCTAGGGCCATGTGATCAAACATGTGTGGAGGCAGCATGGGCGCCAAAGGTGGGTGGAGGTTCATGGCAGCCAAAGGGTTGAGTTGCAGTGGTATACCTGCCGCCAAACCCAATCCTGCCATCATCATGGGATTGAACTGCATCTGTTGCATCTGGGCTGCAGTCAGGGCATTAAGTGCAGCTGCCATCTCTGCCATCTGCGGCGGCACATTCATACCCTGGTGATCGGCTGCGGGGGAGATGGAGCAGGCGGAGGTGGAGGTGGGCGTGATGCCGGGAGTAGGCGTGGCACGAGAGGTGGGCGTGGCCGCGGCGTCGCTCCTGCTGCCTGACTCTGCCTCTTTCTCTCTCTCATCTGAAGTCCCCTTGTCTCCCCCCTGGACGATCTCCGCGTCCCGGCCTCGCTCCTCATCTGTAAGAGCAGAGGGATCGCTGCTAGAGCAGTGCCGACTAGTATTGTACTCTTTACGGTACTCATCTGAGAATTTCTTAAGGTAATCAAAAGGTACACCTGACTCATGAATTTCTTCTAAGTGGGCTTTTAAAACCCATACACTAGAAAATTGTTTATAACATTGAGGACATTTAGATTTACTTAGTTCAGGCAAATTAGAAATGGATTTGTCTTTAGCGTCCTCAGAAGCCCCTTCCTCAGGGTCTTTTGAAGGACTAATTTGTTGATTTTCAACATGATGTATAACTAGATCAAAGCCAAAGCTTTCTAATAGGTGCTTGTGAAGGCGTGAAGACTTTCTGAAAGGTACAGTGAATCTAGAGGTAGAGAGAGATTCTATGGAACATTCAGATGGAGAGAGAGAGCGGTCGTGGGGCTGAGTCGGGGGCAGGTGGGAGGCGACGCAGAGGGAGGCCCATGCGGCGTCCAGGGTGGCTGACGGACTCAAACTGCTGCCGGCGTGAGGAAGGAATGCGAGGTGAGGTGGTAGAAGACCACACAGCACTGCGTGCTGCGCCCCTTGCTCTGCTGTGTTCCACACGCCGCCGCACCGTCCGCAGCTTCCCTGGCCGCCGCTACCAATACTACCGGAGGGGGAGATGCCTTGGTGGTGCAACCCTGGAGGGGTGCCCTGGGAGTTAGAAGGGGAGCGAGGAGTGTGGGCGTCGTGATGTGGGGCTGGGGAGGGCTGCGGGGTAGTGGGTGTGGGTAAGTGGTCGACTAGTGGGCGCAAGGAGTCAAGGTGGGCGGCTGGACTGTACTCCGGGAGGCGGGAGGCTCGTGTCTGGTGGAGTACGGAGCGGAGGTGGATGTCTAGAGTGGACTGCTGGGAGTACGCTACCCGGCACACGTGACACCGGTAGGGCTTGTTACGCTCCTCCTCCTCCCCCGCCCCGAGCATGCTACCCCGCAGGGGACCGGCTTGGCCGTCCCCCAGAGGAGTGCTTCTGCCCTCAATGGTAATCAGTTCAGACTGGGTCTGAGTATTACTTGGAGTACCTTTGGTCTCCTTATCTTGCATAGCTTTTTTAAGCTTGTGCAAATGACTGACTGAATTATAATGTACAAGCAGAATATTCTTCTGCGTAAACGACTCCTTACAGACGTCGCATTTATAGGGTCTGTTGGGGTCGAGATATTTTTCCATTGGGTAAGTTAGCTTCTCACCCCGACGGTGGAGCAGAGTCTTTTGGTGAGCGGTGAGGTAACTCTGCCTGGTGAAGCCTACTCGGCACCGGTGACACTTGAAGCGTCTGGCCGGGTCACTGTAGTTATCCAGAGCCATCGTGTCTGAGTTGAGGTAGTCCTCAATGGCCTGTTGTTGGGGCGGGAGCTGTGGCTCATCCACTACTCTTGTCACCTCTTCCAACTCGTCCCCCTTGTTCGACTCCCGACGGAGCAGGGCTGTGGTGTTGGGGTCGAGGACAGGCCCCGCCCCAGCCCCCACCGGTGCTCCGACGATGGACGCTTGGAACTGGTGACGTTCCAAGGCCGTCAGCTCGGGGTGATCTGAGCTTACATGCTTCTGCAGTGCAGTCAGGGAACGGAAATTCCGGTGGCACAGCAGACACTTGGTAGCGTCTCGAATAGCATGGTACTGAGCATGCAAGTGCAGCTTCTCAACAGTCTTAAATGCCAGTGAGCACTGCTGGCAGCGGTATTTGTACACGTGGCGCTCAGACACGGCCACTGAGGGTCTGGGGACAGCGCCGTGAACCTCCCGGAAGTGACTGTGCAGCGCCTGGGCTGCATGGAAGTACTGGTTGCAGCCCTTCTTCCAGCACAGGTAGCCCGGGCCACGAGGGGTCTCAGTGATTGGTGTGTGGCCCGCAGTTGCCTGGTGAGCCACCAGGTCCTCGATGGAGGCACAGGCCAGCCCACATACGCCACACTCCTCCTGCTCCCGGCCCACGCCCCGCTCATCACCTCGCTTACCTGCACCACCTGATGACTGGTTATCATCCAGCTTCGGCGGGTGCCGATGCTGGAGGTGTTCCTGCAACCGATGATGCTGTTCACTCTGGTTTGGGTGATGGTCGTCGTCATCATCGCCTTTACCAGCAGCAGCAGCACTGAGTCTAACAAGCAGCAAGAGCCGCTGGAGGCCGTCAGAGTTAACGGAGTGGATATTGATGGCGTGCTTCTCCAGCGCGGACATGTCGGGACACGCCTCCTCGCACAGCGGACACCTCATACCCGCCTTCTTCTCCCCGCCATGGTCACCATCCACGTGATGCTGCAACGTCGACTCCGACTCGCAGGTGAAGTGGCAGAAGGGGCACGCGTGCACGTGGTCCGGGGACCGACCCGCTTCCTCTTTGGGCTCCTCTGGAAAATGAAGAAAGACAGACCCTCTGTCAGTACACTTCGTACTGGCGTCATTTGCAACTTCAAACACACGTATGCTCCTCCTACCTAACAAATAAATATACATGTTTCTAAACAAATTATTAACACGTACTAACCTTCAACATTAATACAGGCTATTCATAATATTAATAGGTTAAACAAAATTAGCTGTAAAGAGCGAATAATTATACATTTTCTATGAGAACTGAAAAGAAAAAAGCGTAAATAATGCTAAAAAAAAAAGAAAATTAGTGTAATACATAAAAAAAAATAAAAAAGAGACAAGGAAGAGAAAGCGGGCGAAAGGATAAAAGGAATTGACCTGGTGCAGTTTACAAAGCGTAATATTTGGGGGGGGGGGGGAACAAAGTTTACACTGCATGATGGCAGGGACCAAGAGTTTACCTTGTGCAACATAGCGCCGGGCGATGGGCTTCACTCTCATTCAACACCCCCAGTTGCCCGAGGTAACACGACAAAGCCTCTTATCACCTCAACATTCCCATTTCATTATTACAAGTTATTATTTTTTTCAACGATGGCACACACACACATCAAAACAAAAGTTCGAGTCCTCGAAGAAGAAAAAAATAGCCACAATAAAGCGATTATCTTTTTAACAAATGGTGGTGTGGGTGTTGGTAGGTTGTCCCTGGAGCAGCAGCACCTACAGGCAGGGCCTCCCACTCACTGACGCTCCCGGCTTCTGGTCACTTCCTGCACCAGCTAATGACCTAAATGACATTACGTGAGCCAGCTCAGTGCTCAGCTTAAGCCTCAGACAATCCGCGCTCATTAAGACCACCTCCCCCCCCCCCACACCGTGTCTCAGACAGGCCGCTACGAACACAACACAAGGGGAAAAACGTTCACATTGCTCTTTCCTTGGAGCTACTTCCCCTCGTTTTCTTTCCCGACCTTCTAAGCCCTTCTCCCCCCTTTTTTCTCCCCTCTTAAATCACAGTTTTAAAACAATGTTTTCCTTACAGAGAATCCATAAAAAAAAACTTTTTTTTTTAAGCGTATCATGCGTATACCAGAAGAAATGACGAGGACACACACAGTGTGGAGGTGACAGGAGGTGTGAACATTACAGGGAAAAGGTGATAAGTTGTGGAACCAGAGGCGGGTCTTCTTCGTCCTGTGTAGGGCTTCCACTAACTCCTCTTCCTCCCTCCCTCCCTCCTCTCTCACTCATTCCTCACCTTCTCCACGTCCCCATCATCACCCACGTATATGTTTTTTTTTTTTTTGTTTTTTGGAGATATATACAAGAGTTGTTACATTCTTGTACAGCCACTAGTACGCGTAGCGTTTCGGGCAAGTCCTTAATCCTATGGTCCCTGGAATACGATCCCCTGCCGCGAAGAATCGTTTTTTCAGCCAAGTACACATTTTACTGTTGCGTTAAACAGAGGCTACAGTTAAGGAATTGCGCCCAGTAAATCCTCCCTGGCCAGGATACGAACCCACGACATAGCGCTCGCGGAACGCCAGGCGAATGTCTTACCACTACACCACGGAGACTGCTCGCTCGTCACTGCTTGTCTCCCTTCACCTCCTTCGTCATCGTGATGGCTAACAAGCCACGCCACGTCATTAATAAGTACAGGGCATGACTGGTGAGGCTGCTACATGGCTTCCCCTCCCACGTGACAAGCCCCCCACCTTACTCCTCCTCGCTATCTCGTGTGCACCATTCAATTTCTTTCTTTATTATGCACCCCATACCCATCCCGTGGGCGGTGGTGTAAAGGATTACAGAGGCACATAATCGGTTCAGGACCTAAACCCTCTAGTTCGAATAGCTAAGCAAATAACAATCTTTTGACGCTATTTACAAAATTATTAATGTTATATATATATATATATATATATATATATATATATATATATATATATATATATATATATATATATATATATATAAATATATATAAATATATATATAACCTTCAACAGTAGTTATATTATATATATATATATATATATATATATATATATATATATATATATATATATATATACACACATACTCATACATACATGTACATATATACAACTCTAAATGCATCACCCACGGGTTACATTACTATGGGAGTGAATCCACTTAACAGTTACCATTAACTCCCGGTGATCGTACAGATGATAAAAAATAAGCTATCAAGCTTTTCATGAAGTGGATTTTGAATGTCATGACATAAATACATAAATATAATACATGTGTGTGTACTAGGCCTAGGAATATTTAAGTTTGTTTTTTAGCTTAATTTTTTGGACTATAAAGTGAATAGTACAAAATTCTACTATATAATTGCTAAGTACGTCAATGTTTGTACTATGGTGCACATAGTTACAAATAGAACTATCTAAACAGGAGGATGGGTTGCAATACGGGTTAATCAACGGTAAGAGTCAAAAGTTCAAAATATATGTCCAACTAGCCAGGGCATGGTACCCCCCCCCCCCAGTCATATCGCCTTGCCCCCCCCCCCCGGGTATATCGCCTTGCCCCCCTCCTCCGGTCATATCGCCTTGCCCCCCTCCTCCGGTCATATCGCCCCCCCCCCGCCACCTCACCGGCCAAAACGCCTGCCACTGTCGTATATTTTGCTTGAAACTTTAAGTCCACACTAAAATCAGTTTTGGAAATTTTGGAAGCTTTCAGATTTCGCGTTTTTCTATTATAATTTCATTTTAATATTCACATTTTGTTCTAAAACAAGACTTTTCAATAGGTACAGAAGCCCGACTCGTGATACTTCCTGGCAACATTGACTTAGGTTTGCAGGCTTCACCGACGTCAATAATCAAATTCGCTCTCAACTAAGTCTTCAGCTGGAAGTCACTGTCCCAGGAAGTTAAGCTTGAGTAACGTGCCGACAGCTTCACCTCATGTGCGTTGGAACTAGGCAATGATGTAACCACGTCGTACAGCTTTACTAAATGGAAGTCTTCTGAATGGAAGAACAGGGAGACAAACGTCTCGCCTTGGCGCCTTCTTTTCATAATTACTTACTTGTCTTTGTTTATATTGGCCGCTAAATTATGAAGTGACGCGTCCTGGCCTAATATGCACTCCGAGCTCATTTTCTACCGAGTCCCAATATTCCACTAAGTCGTCTACACACGCGGATCTTGTATTTGAACACGGGCGCGCAGGCATTCACTTCTTGGAGCGGGTTTAAGCTCCGCTCCAGGAGTGGTGGCAAGCCCCACAGCCAGACCGGTTACACACCCATCACCCCCTTTACAACACAAAACAATAATGGTAATGAAGATTAAAAACACTGGGAAGTTAAAACAGCCATGTCTGAAGAGGAGAGAGACAGAGAGAGAGAGAGAGACAGAGAGAGAGAGAGACAGAGAGAGAGAGAGAGAGAGAGAGAGAGAGAGAGAGAGAGAGACACGCGAGGAACCAACCACCATCCCGGCGCCACCACGGACGATTTGGGCAATTGTAATCATGGGGATATTAAGTGATATGTCCTTGGCGGCTTTAATCGCTGGAAGGACTTGGCCCAGAGTCTAAATTAGTGGCTGAAGCTCCTCTCTGGCTGGTGGAGATAAGGAGTTGTCAGCAGGGAGGAGCAGGAGGAAGAGGAGATGCAGGAGGTGAGATGTGAAGAGGAGAGAAGAGGAAAAAGAGTATTAGGAGGAGACAGAAGGACGAGAGGTTTCAAACAAGGGAGTGAAGAGGTTATGTTTCTCGTTTCTGCTTTTCACGGAGTGGCCCAAATGTGTATGTGATATGTATAATATGCCTGCACTTGCCTATGATTATACTGAGTTTTAAGTTTTTTAACTTGTAGGTTGTACCGGGTTTGTGTGTGCTAGGCTGTGCCGGGTTTGTGTGTGCTAGGTTGTACCGGGTTTGTGTGTGCTAGGTTGTGCCGGGTTTGTGTGTGCTAGGCTGTGCCGGGTTTGTGTGTGCTAGGTTGTGCCGGGTTTGTGTGTGCTAGGTTGTGCCGGGTTTGTGTGTGCTAGGTTGTGCCGGGTTTGTGTGTGCTAGGTTGTGCCGGGTTTGCGTGTGCTAGATTGTGCCGGGTTTGTGTGTGCTAGGCTGTGCCGGGTTTGCGTGTGCTAGGTTGTGCCGGGTTTGTGTGTGCTAGGCTGTGCTAGGTTTGCGTGTGCTAGGCTGTGCCGGGTTTGTGTGTGCTAGGCTGTGCCGGGTTTGCGTGTGCTAGATTGTGCCGGGTTTGTGTGTGCTAGGTTGTGCCGGGTTTGTGTGTGCTAGGTTGTGCCGGGTTTGCGTGTGCTAGATTGTGCCGGGTTTGTGTGTGCTAGATTGTGCCGGGTTTGTGTGTGCTAGATTGTGCCGGGTTTGTGTGTGCTAGGCTGTGCTGGTTTCCTTGTAGTAGCTTTACCTGTGGATAAAGTACGAGAGATTAATCTCCACAACCCGGCCCGAGACTAGGTTTTTTTTCTGGTGATAGACATGATTGGAAAAACTACTGCTTTCAGAAACACATAGGCACCCCCCCCCCCGGGTCCTCTCGAGCAGTACATCGCACTGTGAAGTTCAAATCCCGAACGGCCAAAATACGCTGTACTATAAATCAACACAAAATGGACGGGCTGTCTCGTTTTCTAATCGTGGATCCATGGTCATAACCATCCGGTTCTTGTGTTTTTTTTCCTGGGAGGCAATGCTAAATATACGGATCTTTGGTATACTTGCGGTTGCGTAGGTGTATATGAGTGTAGCCAAAACAATAAATACACAGTAATACATTGTAATATACACAGGCTAAAGTAATCTTACAAGCTACCTTGGCCTTTATAAGTAGACAGCTGTAAACTGGAAGACAAACACCTGTACTCATATACAACAAAGGTGCCCTCAATGTCAGTAGGCCTAATAGAATAATACAATTTATATAAAAAAATTAAGCTATTGGTGAAGTAAGTATATGAAGAGATAACTCTTATAAGCCTAAATTGTCCCAGGATTTTTTTTTGTTCAATTCCCTTCATCT